GCATGGACGGTCTACTGAAGCTGATCGCACTGTCGGCGAGGACCGTTGTTTCGAATGACGTCTGATTAATGAGAATTAAGGTCCTCGGTATTAAACACACACTTGCCTTCCTGTCATCTCTGATGTAGCTCTGATAACAAGAGCAGCTCTGCTACATCCTCCAGCAGTCAGTCATTCAGAGAATCAGACGTCTGCTGTCAGCAAGAACCTGCTCAAAATCTCATGCCCTCTAGTTCAACATTTTAACTGGATATCATTGTGTTGGACAGCTCAGTGTGTTATTATGATTCTTGAGTTCAGGTGTCTTGTTAAATGAACAGCATTTTTCTCACAAAAGCCAAACATCTATTCATTCTCAGAATTGTTGGGGGCAGCGCAAATGTTTGCTTCCTTTGTCTTACGCCTACAGACACAAACATTTCTTGCTATTGTGTCAGTGCTGCTATTCACCAGAAAAAGTGAATTGCAGCTGTGGAAGACACAATACTTATATAACTCACAAGACAACCAGTTATAGCAGAAATATGATCAAAAAGGATATTAAAAATAACGGATTATATTGATAATAATCAATTATTGCCATTCCCATTATCAAACTGATCATTATATTATATTGTTAAATAAAGTGAATGAATTCTTCATAGCAGATGGTAGATTATTTCGGCGGGTTGTTTAGTACCCCCCCTCTCTTTGTGCCCCTCTTATGCCCTCTGTGCCTCGCACGCCCACGCAGCGCCATGTTGGGATGGGTTCACAGCCCATTTTATTTGCGTTGGCTTTGGTGTTGCGTGGGGGTTTGGTGACCCCTGCACACGACGATTAATCAAACGTCACTCTGTGATTTCTCCAAAACTCATTATTCCTTTTTTATAACACAGCACGCCTCTCTCAAATGCAGTTTTTTTGATAAATCACCCCTTTAGGTCTGTGCACACTTCCTTCTGTATCTTTTTACTTATTGAATCTAGCCAAAGAAATTCATTTCAAGTTTTAATAACTGATCATTTACATCATCAGTTGTTTTATTCCCAAAGAAAGAGACACTTGATTTTCTTAAATTCAGAAATGAGCATTTAAAAGTTTGGTCAGATTTTGTGAAATATTATTTCCATCTAAAAAAATTTTTTTTCTATTTTATGTATTTTAAAATGTATTCCTGTGATGCAAAGCTGAATTTTCAACAGTCTTCAGTGTCACACGATCCTTCAGAAATAATTCTAATATGCTGATTTGATCATTGATAATATTATCAATGTTAAAAACAGCTGTGCTGCTTAATATTTTTGATGGAACCATGATATATATATCTATTTTTAGGATTCCTGGTGAATAGAAAGTTCAAAAGAACAACATTTATTAGAAACAGAAATCTCTTGTAATGTTATAAATGTCTTTTACTGTCACCTTTTGATAGTTCTAGCTGAATAGAAATATTCATTCATTTAAAAAAAAAGTACTGACCCTAAACTTTTGAACATATATCTTTCAGAAAAAATGAAATCCAGATAGTTTTTAATTCTCAGGGGAAAAAAACAACAGTTCTCACACCCATACACTCCTTCAGCATTGCACAATTCAATTGAGAGTTTAACGCTTACCATTCCTGATGGCTGCATTCTGCTGAACGCGTGTTTGGTTTTCATGAGCGTTGAGCTTTTCTCTTGTCTGCGTTCTTCACGGCTTTCTTCTGCTGTTCGCCCAAACACAGCCGACACTGATAACATATAGTCCTCTACATCTCTCAGAGGAGCTTCATATGTGCTCAGAAACCAACCAAAACACCGGACAATGCACTTGTTCCCACCTCCAAACACATTCACAATTGGAGCTGGTATGGTAATGAGAGAGATTTGGGGAGGCCAGCGGATCGGGCCAGAGAGCACCTCTTTGAGTCGGGATGGGGGGGCAGCGTAGGTGTGAGGGTTTGGTTTAAGCGTGTTACTCTCGTCCGAACAGCTGACCCTCAAGTGATGGGGTCCAGAGCAACAGCAAACCAGCTAAGAGTTTTCAGTTCTTAGAACCAAACGTTCTGAGAATGTTCGTTTTTGATTCCCGGAATGTTCTGAGGACATGTTTTGGAGGTTTGTATTTGTTTAGCCAGTAAAGTTACATATATGGAAATAGAACGTTCTTTTTAGGTTGTCAGAACGTTAGAAGAGCATTCTATGTTTGCTGGGAACAACCCAGATTACTACACCATTGTCTTACTTTTCAGTTTTGATCACTTTTTCATACTTTTGATGTAAACGCCTGACTCAATACTGGTAATTACATAAAAAAGCCCTAATTTAGTCTAATTCAAAACTCAAACGTTAGCCTAATCTATTGATTTACGTCCCTGCATTTTTATTATCATGCGTTTTTATAGTAAGTGTAATTTGTTTGGGCAAACATTGTCAGGGCTGAATGTTACACAAATGGTTTCACTGCAGGCTGGTCATTAAGATTTTGGCTGAGATTTTGTTTCAGAGTTGCCTTCCAACAGAACCACAAAGAACCGCTTACATGCCTAGAGCTCGAGATGATACAGCAACTAAATGACTGTTTAATCCACTGCCAGAGAACAAGGGACAGTCTGTAATTAACATTTAGGAAATGAAGCAATACATATGATTTGTCTCATGTGAAACTGTGCTAATGTCACTACTATAGCAGAATCATTAGTTGTTTAAACTGGGTGTGCAAGAGATTGTCATTTATTTAGTGTCAGTCCGTATAAAATATGTTGCACAGATGCTCATATGTAATGTACTTTAGTGTAAATGTATATAAATGTTTAACAGTTTTGTTATAAAAGCAGAAGGGTGACTGAAGGAAATAAGAGAGTTTATGTAACGTGTCATTTGAATTTGAATTAAAAACTAAAATGAATAAGATTTATATAAATGTGCATACCCAAAATAATTTATAAAATGTGTTACTTCAGTGTTTTGTATTATAGTATTTATTAATATTTTAATAAGCTTTTATTTTTATATTTTCAGTTTTCATTTTAATTTGACTTTTAGTTTAGTGCTTTTATTAGGTTTTATTTTTAGCTTAAATTTATTTTTTATATTTATATATGATTTATATGTGTGTGTGTGTGTGTGTGTGTGTGTATATATATATATATATAAAATACAATAAAACTTTATTTTTTATATTTATATATAATTATAAAAATTCTATAAATTCTATATAAATATATATAATTCATATAATAATATAGTTTTCTAAATCTGTTGTAGTTGTAGTAATTTTAGTACTTCAGCAGAAATGTTATATATATACAATGTTGAATCCAATTTTATAGTGATATCTGATGAATTGTTAAATAATTTGAACAAATCCTAAGCATATAGGCATACAATAATAACCCAAGCCAAGTATTTGTGGATAAGAAGCTTTTTCACAGGGATCAGTGAACCCCCATCACGCAAAATTCCCCATGCGTAGGAGGAAAGAGCAGGAAGATGGATGACCAAGCCCCTATAGTTTGATGGTATTGCCCACGTCATCAGCAAGAAACAAAGACAGAAAGCAGCAGCACGGAGAGGACGGGGAGCGTGGATCATTAGATGGAACATCATCACGGGCCAGCTGAAATACCACCGTCGCTCTCATTGTCCATGACTTTGCCTTTATGCTGTTCATCTGTGGGAAAGTAGCATGTGTTTAAATTTCATAACATGAATGACAGAAGTTGAGTTAATTAGATGTTGTTAATGTTATGTCTCGTTTCAGATGTTCAGCCTTGTCCTGAGATATTGCTCAGGGCTCCTCGAACGATTCTTTGAACGGTCAAAGACAAAACATCCACCCCCAGTGAATGAGCACATGCTGGAGAACACATTCAATCAAATCAGAATATAGCCTCTGAATGACTAAATCAATCATACAAATATCAGATGAAAAGAGACTAAAAAGAAAATGCATGCCTTGGAACAGCTTTCATTTACTTATACTTTTCTTAAACTATTACTCCTATTCAGTGTTGGGGGTAACGCATTACAAGTAACGCGAGTTACGTAATCAGATTACTTTTTTCAAGTAACTAGTAAAGTAACGCATTACTTTTTAATTTACAAGAGAATATCCGAGTTACTTTTTCAAATAAGTAACGCAAGTTACCTTTTTTTTCCAATTTATTGATTGACAGCTCTCCTGTCCCCATGTTGAGAGAAATCAGATGTTACTGTAGTTCTAAAATAAATATGAATATGCATTAATTCATCTCACTCACAAAAAACAAAAAACCCCGATTCAATATTCTTCAAAATGAATAAAAATAATGCAACTCAGAATATGACGCAAACCTTGTCTTTAACTGTAAAACGTTACACTATTTAAACTTTATCACAGTACATTTTTTGTATTTTTATTTCCAAGAAAAAGCTGTAAACAACCACAGTTTTCCACCAGTTGAAGAGATAATGTAATAAGTTCACTCAAAAATGAAAATCCTAATCATCATTTTCTCACCCTCCACTTGTTCCAAACCAAAGAAGACATATTTTGAAGAATGTTGGTAACCAAACAGTTGACGGTAGTGCTAGGCGGTATACCGGTTCATACCGAATACCGGTTTTTATTTTTGTTAGTAAGTGTTTTTTTGTAATCACAGTATAATTAGCAACCTGTGGTTACTTGAGCTGCTACAGGTAAATACAAGTCTTTCTGTTGTGGCTTTACTATTTAAACTTGTAAATAGCCATCCTAAATGTATTGTGATTACCAAATGTTAATTGGTCAGGCCCTTATGTCTAAATAAATATATAAATAAAGCTACATTTATACATATAACCCTCCCCTCCAAAAAAGATAATTAACAAATATGTCTCATAACCAAAATCATAACTGACTTGCAGGATTTTATCTTAAGAATTATGAAATGTAATAACTGGCACGTGCTATTTTGGATTTCATGTTCATGGTATTAGTCACTGTTTTAAGACTCAAGCATCATCTTAGAAGAGTCCTAATGATTTTAATCCTGTAACTGTATTTCCCCAGAAAGCATGACAGTTGTTTTTCCACAGGCCCATCATTTTCGCCGAAAGGCAGATCAGTTGGTGGCAAAGGAAAAATTTGAAGAGGCGATTTTATGCCATAGTAAAGCAGCAGGTAAATCAGTGAAGACCCTTTTGTTCTCTTAAGAGCAAGCACACATGAAGAATTGGGATGGCATGAAGATAAATGAAGGAGTGAATGATTCTGTATTTGTTTCTTTCTGCTCAGAGCTGATGAAAGAGGCCTGGTCAGTGACACGGAGTGAACAGGTAAAACAGCATGTGTCTGACAGACAGGTGTGACTCTATTCCAGCAGTCTGGCATGTCTGAATCATAGGCCAAGCTTTTGAGTAGTGTACTTCTTTTTTAAATATTTGATTTCAAGCTTTTCACATTTTAGAGAACAATCCTCCAACCCTCATGCCAGCAAATCGAAGGAGAAAAAAAAAGAAAGTATAATGTAATGATACATGCCGAGTAGTGTGCATTTTAATATTCAAATACAAAGTGGAAGCGATTTTAAAGGGGTCATATGATGCGATTTCAATTTTTCCTTTCTCTTTGTAGTGTAAGCAGCCATGTCGTGAAGACGCTGTGTGTTTCTTTGTGAAAGTGAAACTACTTTGTTTGGCCTTCCAAAAGAGGACGATATCCGCTTCGTCATGCCTGGAGCTGATCCGTGCTGGTCTCTGAGGAAATACATCAACTTCACGCTGTGGATCGCCGGATCGGCTTTCACTGTGGACGAAGCGGAGTCCAGCCCGGGGTCGTCACATGTGGTTGCCTTCGTCGAATCCGCTGGCCGTTCCTCACTCAAGCCCGCAGTGTGTGACGCTGTGTGACGCATTTTATGGAGGACTGTTTCCTGAACCTGCAGTTCTGCATAGCCTACAATGGGTCTTTAGCAACGTCATATGACCCCTTTAAAAAGGTTAAGTATGGTAGTAGTTGAATATATCACAAAAATCTAAAGTTTTTTAAAAATTATTTTAAATATGTGTAATTTATTGACAGGCCAAAATGGAATCGGGAGAATGTTTTTTTCAATTTTTTTCTTTCAAATTTAGGAAAAAATATACAGAATGGATTTAGATAAGGTAAATTGCTGTAAATATGTTTCAGATTCTACTTACAGTACAAAGATTGTGCATGAATTGCAAAGATGTATTCTGACATTCAAAAGTTTGGTGTCTGAAATTGTTTTTTTGTTTGAAGGAATTCTCTTATTCTCACCAAAGGTGCGTTTATTTGACCAGAAACAGTAAAACAGTAATATTTTTTGAATATTATTACAATTTAAAATGACTGTTTTCTGTTTCAATATGATTTCAAATGTAATTTATTCCTATGACGCAAAAAGCTGTTTTTCAGTATCATTACTCAAGTCTTCGTTGTCACATGATCCTTCAGAAATCATTCTAATATGCTGATCTGCTGCTCAAGAAGCATTTCTTCTTATTATCAATCTTGAAAACAGTTGTGCTGCTTAATACGTTTGTGGAAACCCTGAAACATTTTTTTAGGATTCTTTGATGAATAGAAAGTTCAAAAGAACAGCATTCATTCATTCATTAATTTATGCCTTGTAAAAAAAATGTTTACTGTCCTTTTTGATCAATATAATGCATCTTTGCTGAATAAAAAGCTGTCCAGCTTCCTGGTACAAATACGTAACGTTCAGGTGTAAAATGCTACTTTAAAGTGACCAAAGTAAAAATCCGTATTTTAACCAAAAATGTTACTTTTTCAGTGCTTCAAGATGAATCTGCTTTTTTTTGTTATTCACTAATGCTTTGCAAAGTGCATTTTGTCCATTTGTTTAAGTAGTACCACTCAATCACTTGCAATTGTTCTATTCAAATTGCTTTTAAAATGGCTGTTGTTTATTAGTAAATATCAACATCATATCAACATAACCTGAAATGCCTTAATGGAGAAAAGGGAAAAAAAATGAGTATTCTAAAATCACATTTGTGTTTATTAATTTTTAAATTAATCTGAACAGTCAAATAATACATAAAATCTGCAGGCAGCTGTTGTCATTGTGTTGTCATCTTTAAGGATGTTGCCTACAGTAATGTACCTCTCCTGAGTTTGTACTGTACAAAAGCTATATAATGGTTTTAAAAGGTCTTCCATGTACTTTATAAGCTATTGTGAATGAAAAGGAACAGTTGTTCTTTTATGTAAAGTACACATTTGTACTCTCATGTACCTTTTCTTTCAGAAAAGCACAGCCAACATTTGAACCATTATCACATTTTCTATCACGGTACGACTGTCTTTAGAGCTGCAGAGAGATAGACATCTCCAACAGCAGCGACTGATCAAGATGAGCCGCAAACAGACTAAACTCAAAGGAAAGCTCCTGGTCAGCCCGATAACACACTGCACCAGTCCAACAGCCCTCCAAAGTCCTCCACTCGGCTGGAAGGCTGCCAAAGACGACAAGACTCGGCTGGAAGAGCAGAGCACTGCCATCGCTGACCTGTGGAAGCTTGTGGCGGTTCTGCTGCTGGAGAACAAGCGGTTGCTGGAGGAGCATGAGAAACTGAAGGCAGAGAATGCTAGTCTGAAGAGAGACCTGTATGAGGAGCATCAGAGCCCTCCGGCTTCTCTAGATCAGCCTTCACCGCTGGGCATGAGGCTCCTGCACGTGCCTCCTGACCTCCAGCAGGAGATCCAGCTGCTGTTGAAGACGGCAAATGACAGCTAGACCTGCATCCACCTACGGCACCGCTCAAAAGATTGGAGAATTACGTTTTTTTGTCTATTGTCTCTTATGCTGGCTGCATTTATTTGATCAAAGATATAGTACAACAGTAAAAGGGAAATAATATTACTATTTAAAACAAGTTTTTTTTATATTAATGTATTTTAAAATGTAATTCATTCCTGTGATGGTAAAGCTCAACTTGCTTAACCCAAACTGTTGGATGGTGTCTTGGTTTCCACAAATATTAAGCAACAAAATCGTTTTTCAAGATTAATAATAAGAAGAAATGTTTCTTTCTGAAGGATCGATCATGTGACACTGAATACTGGAGTAATGATGCAGAAAATACTGCAGCTTTGCATCAGAAAAATGTTACATTTTAGAATATATTCAAATACAAAACATTCTTTTAAATGGTAATATTTCACAATATTACTGCTGTTTGGTTTTTTATCAAATAAATGCAGCCTTGAAGAAACTTCTTTCAAAAACAACCAAACAAAAAAAATCTTAATTATTCCAACTTTTGACTTTACTGTGTTTACTGTAGATTCAACTGTCTATATTGGGTCAAAGTACCCAATTTATTTAAATTTTAAATACATGCTCCTAGTCTTACTAAACATGCATTAATAAAAATAATACATTAATAAATCAGGAAAGACTTTTTCTTGTTCAACACACCCGATTCACTCCGAAATACATCATCACAGAAGTAAAATGTGGTACTAGTAGGTGATAGTAGTTAAACGGCGTTTGTTTGAAAACTACATTTACACTTTATGAAAGTGTTTGTGTAAGTGAGGGGAATCAAGTGAAATGCACTTTTGGATGTTTTTGTAGATACGCAATGGGTAATATAGTCTCATTAACACAAAGTTGTTCAATTCAGGGTTGTTTTCACCCACAGAAGACTGTGATATTTTGCATCGTTTCTGTTAAAGCTTGAAGCTGGTTACAATTCACTGCCATTATATAGACAACATACAGACAATTTTCTATTAATTTCTCCTTTTGTGGTCTGAAAAAAGAGAGGTCGCATAGCATTTGACCAACACCAGGTTAAGTAAAAAATGATTTTGAGTGAACTATCCTTTTAAATAACCTAGAAAACCAACTAACTCTTTTAATGGATATGAATGGATTACGTAAACAGGCATGACAGACAAATCAATATTATTCCATTTTTAATGGAAAATGTAAAACATCTCTTTAACTTCAATGTACATACAGTAGCAAACAACACATACAGCAAATAAAGCACACCATGTTATAGAAAATCACAATTAATATTTATATATGTATATTCTGCTATTTACATATTACATTTCAGCTGAAAATTTCACAAGATCTTTTTTTTTTTTTTTTAAACAAACAGAATAAACTAATTCTTTAATATTCGCCCTCTGCACAGTGAATATTTGCCAAACTGTAAATAATTTAATGTTGCTTAAACAATAAAACTTGTCCATTTGGCAGCTGCTGATGTGATGGAATGCTGCTATGATTGTGTTGGAATCGCTGCTCTCTAAAACTGTCCAAAACACAGCATGACAACATGTTGAACACTTTGCAGTGCAATAACTAGTAATAAAGAACATGTCGTGAATCATTATCGCCTTTGGAAAAACATGTATTTGCCAGTGTCGCTCTTTCTAAAGGTTTTCCATGGTCTTCTGCATGTGCGGCAAGTGGAAGTGATGGGCTTTGAAGTTCATTGCACCTGTTTGGAGAGCACAGTGTACTACTTTTATCTCTGTTTGTTGTGCCCCTTACTACGCTTCCTGTCCGTGCAGGAAGACATGATGGGGAAGTTCAAACAAAGAGAATAAAATCAAAGAGAAGACAGTGACATCATAGAGGAAGTCACAGAATCTTGCAGAGTGGCCCATTTTGTTAGAATCACATCTAAGAGATTTCTTGCTGGAGAATCCTGGGATTGTCTTTATGCTCCAAGGGTTTGAACAGAGGAGGAGGAGATGCATTGTCAGGACCCCTCCTGTTTCCCATCGTCTGTGTTCTTCTCCTTCAAATGGTTCCTCAGTGTGGCTACAGCATCTTTCACAGAGTGATAAAAGATGTTCTTCACCTGAACAATCAAGAGGGATGAAAAGATAGTGTGGAATTAGATTTTACTTACAGATTTGGCTCATGCCTAATTACACTTGGGAACACAATAAAACATAGTAGTATCAACTTAAAGGAATATAAACTGCAATAGCAATTTTTGCAACATCATGCTTTATCACAAAAAAACTGGAATACACTATACGACTTAAAATCTGAACAGAATTTAAAACACTAGGCATCTTACACTTGTCGACTTTTTAAACGGCTAGAGTGGAAAAAAATGGGAATTATACACTAAACAATTGAGGTTCACACACTACCAGATGTTCAAATAGTTCTAAGCACAACAAAATTGCAAGCCTCCACATGTGTCTCATTGTTAGGAGACACAGGAGAACTGAAAACAATGTGTTCTAAAATCAGTGCAAAATATCAAATGTGATATCCTCCGACAGGATGAAATCATAGTCTGAAGCTAGAAAATGAAAGTCTGTGTCCATCATACACTATGCAATTTTCTGTGACTCCTACAGACTGTAAATCGGGTCAAAAGACTGGTGTATCCATCCTTTATTCCAGAGAGTAAAGTAAAAATGCTGTGAGACACAATGCCACACAACAAATCAGAAAGTAATGTTATGTGAAGCATGATTTTGGGCCAATGAGATTGCACTGTGGGTAGGGTCACCAGCATGATGCAGCAGAAATGGAAACTAAATGATCAACAAAACAGGTCACAGTAGGTAGATGGAGGTACCTGAAGTTTGTCTTCATAGTTCATTTGGTCTTTGAGAGGGCGGAGCTCTTGGGTTAGATAATAGGAGTTGTGCGCATGTTCAGGGGACACAAAATCCACATTCACTTGGATGCAACTGTGCAGATTCATCACCTAAAAACACACAGCATGCATAAATACTGAATACTGAACACCTGGTGGAGTGACAGCTTTAGGAATGCAGTCATCCTTCCCAAGAGCCCAGGACGGATTGCTTTAGGAGGATGTAGCTGGTAATGTGAGTGCGGTAATGTACCTGGTGCAGAGCTCCAGCAGGGATGATAACAGCATCTCCATGGAACTGGAGGAGTGTGCGGCTCTCTATGCCATATTCATTCTGTAGCTTCTGCCTCAGCCTGGGGCTCAGATACCAGCTGCCTTCACGCAGGGGGTCGGAATCACCGTCCCACTCTGAGTCAGAGTCTGCCTCTGGATCCGCTTCAGCCTGCTGCTCAGCAGCAATCTGCAAACACAGAAGCATAAATATCATATTCTCATTGATGGGGGGGGGTGTCTAATAAAACAGCAATACGTGTTTAGTGAACTAATTTAATCTAGATGAAATATAAAGCTAATGGATGGTTTTAAGAGCATCGACAGGGAGAACAACAATGGGCACAATGAAGAGCCTTGTGGCACACCATACTGAACCAGCACTATATCGGACAACTCATCCCTAACCATCAATTAAATAAGCTCATAAGCTTTACATGATCAAGGAGTACAGTACCTTTTGTAGAAACTCCTGGATCTTTTGTAGGTCTTTACTCGTGTAGATGTGCCACAGAGCACCTGGCGTCTCTTTAGGGTCTTTCAGTCGTTTCTTTACACTCTCATCCAGAACTTCTCCTTCCAAGAGCTTTAGTACCCCTATCACAAAGGGTTTGACAGCAAAATGAATGCAATCTTACACACAAATTATTGCTCACAATGTTCCATAAAAGTTCTTATGGTGGCATTTTAAAGGACACCAATACATTTTTTATTTCAGCAATTTCCAAGACTCTGTAATAATGCAAGTATACTGCTGAGTGGCAAATCTCAAGCCTGAGTCTAGTAAACAAAAAAACATTTTTATTTCCATTAATCAACATTCAAATAGCTTTAAAAGAGGCATTATGGCAGCAATGATCTCACACAAAGTCAATGAATGTATTAATGTACAACTATTGACTGTTGAGTCATCCTATTTTCAAAATCCATACACAGAATGTCTTTGCATCCAGATCCACCTCTCTTACAAAGCTAATAATTTTACTGTTAAATAATGTATATGCAAACCTACATCAATGAAAACATCAATGCCACAATATCATGTTTACGTACAAGTACCTGCTTTGGATGAGGCTCCGTTTCCTTTGGCCACCCCGACATATACCAGAATACTCATGGAGTCTGAGATTTCAACATGTAGATTGCTGGTCCCGAAGTCTTGTTCTGGACATGTTGTTACACCTGAACAAACACTGGAACATAAGGTCCATTGCATAACAGAGCACAACAGCACTGTCAGTAAGTACAGGAAAGAAAGAATACCGTGGGCGCAGCAGAGGCGAGGACCAAGGTCAGGTCGAATGAAGAAGGAGGGCAGATGTGAGGCCAGGTTCAGATGTGCCTCTGGGTCTGTGTACTCCGGTACCGGCAAAGACTTCATCACATCATGGTATCTGAGGTGGGTGAAAGCATTACATCATCAAATTCCTTTGTCTCAAAAATATCAGTAAAACCTCATTACACACCATAAAAGCAATGTGATTTAAAAAAAATGAAAATGTAGAATAGCATTACACTTATTATAATAATGAGTACAATGGTGTTTACTTTATAATTGTGTGGTTTAAGGTGACTTGATGGCTTAATACAATTTAAGCACTCATTTATAGTGAATTCTTGTTTTTTTGTGATTTTAATTCCAATTTATTTTCAAATCAAGAAATAATGTAGAATCTGATGGACGTATGTGTAAAATAAAAAGCAATTCTGCATTTTTCATTAATTGGAAGACACTTATCACTAGAAATCTATTTCTCTATGGAGAAATTTACGTGTCTTTATTTCTGGAACTTCTTGTACTCTTTTACTGCATTTCTAAGTTCCAAGCTTGAGAAGAGGTTTACTCAAATACTGGTGAAAGTATACAGTCGGCTGCCTCCCCCTAATTATCATCATCATCCCGTCCCTTAATCGCCGCCCTTCGCCAGGCTCCCGACAGGAGTGGGTGCGTGAGAGAGGAGGGGCGCTGAAATAGCCAGGGCTGGCGGCGTGTGATGGGGCACACCTGAACCGAATAGAGCCTCATCACTGCTGCTGTTTAAATGCCACCAAAAAGCCATTTTAAAGTGGTTAAACAAATAATAATAATAATAATAATCGGCAGGGATCCCACACCAATACAATTAGTGTGCCTCCTCTATTTTAAAACCCACGAGCCGCCACTGCCGTCCAGTCCCTTCAAGCGCCATGGGCCGAGAGAGAAGGATGAAGCTGCTGAACGAAGCTGCCCCCCCCTCACGCCCCGGACCGGAGAGGGGAGCACGTGCGGCCGCCGGACTCCGCCCCTTACCTGGACCCTTCCTTCTCGAACACTGCCCCACCTTCACTAACCCCGCAGCACGACGAGGACACCAGATCCCCTGTTTATTTTGGACACTTTATTCCCTTTTCTGGACACTTTGTTATATTATTTTGTTAATAAAAGCCTCTCCGAGGCCTGACGCCACACCCACTGTGTCTGTCGTGTGCTCCTCCCGTGACAGTATATTCAAATCGAGGAAGCATTAGCAGTACAAAGTGGTATTCTATGCAAATTCTAGTGCGGTCTGAAAGACAACATATGCTTCAAATGTTTCCAAGGGCAGCAATACCTGGCAGGCATGAGGGCCAAAAACTCCTCCCCTGATGGCCAGTCTTTCAGTCTATACACCACTGACTCCCCTTTATCAGATTTAGGTCTCTCTGTGGGTCACATACACAAGAATGCAAATAACATTTAGTCCACAGAGTCAACCAGCAAAATCATATTCAGCAAATTAGAATAGAATTATAAGTACTTAATCACTCACTTGACACATCTTCAAAACCATCCCAGAACTCCTTGACATTGGAGTTTGTGACGCTCCCATCTCTGCAATTGTAGAGGTCACTATGAAGGCTGGAGAACTCACGGCTGAAGTGCTCAGGCTTCCACAGATTAGCATTCAAACTCTTGTGCAATCCGGACACCAGCACTGGCTAAAGAGACATTGCACCAACTACAGCTTCAGAAGCATACGATATGAAGATTCTTTTTACATTGTGTTTTCATACAAGAAGCCACTTTGAATGTCTTAGTTTAAAATAATCAAAATCAGTGGTTACTTTTAAGTAATTAAATCCCAAGAGGTTTCATCCTGTCAATCCTAATTTTTACATAAAGTAAAACTGTAATTCACTGTAAATTCTCTTATGAGTTAATTTCCTTTTCACCCAGTATCTGTAGAGATATAGTTAATACTCCACTAGCGTGAGCATTACAAACCTGCTCTTGTGTCCAGTTCTCTTTGAACAGTCTTTGGTTGCCTTGGTGACGATGATCTTTGAGCCAAAGCAGCCGGTGGTTTCCAAGCCAATCGTGAGGGACAATGGCGTGGGGATCAGCCAATGGACTTTCATCAAGCTTCACACCCTCTGGCCGCTGCCCCACCTCCCCTTCTGGCAGCGAATCCTGATTCAGCCCCACCCTGGCCATCTTTGTAGCGGGAATTTTATTTTCTACTACAGAAGCAATGATGTCATCCAGGATGTTGGGCACGCGAGTGTTTTGGGCTACCTAAAGAATGAAGCATGAATAGAGTTTGTTACAAGTCATACACCTAGTTTAGTTATCATCATCTTATATTCTTGTATTTACCAGTCTATATAACTCTAACCTGTTCAGACAAGTTGTAAACTGGTGCAAAGGCACCTCCAGTGGCCCCGAGACGCAACTTTCCAGCTGTGGAGGTCAAAAGGTCACGCAATGTTGATCCTTGTTTGGGGCTCGTGGACTTCCTACTGTGAGCTTCCATACCATCACACCTAGCCTTCTCTGTAAATAAGAAGAAACAACACGTCAAGAGCATTTTATTCAGAAAGTACACAGAATCAGCCAGAATTGTGTCAAAACCAGGCAAAATGGGAAATTACCAGCGGCAAAAATAAAGTGACAAACACAGCCTCACACAACACATTTGGTTTAATACACTATGTGGAGGACATATTTTGGACCAATGAGATTTCATGGTAGGCAGGGCTACCTTCATGTGTGAATAGTGCTGTCAATCAATTTAAAAAAACGAACTAATTCTGAAATTAATCACGATTAATCCCACCTAATATGAAAGTTTTTAAATACACTTTTATATTGCAATAATTTCACATTCAACCTTCAAATTAATGTAGAAAAAGTATATTTTTAATAGGGCTGTCATCGTTAACGCATGCAATTAATTTTACAATCCTTAACACGTTAAAATAATTTAACGCAATTAACGCAAAATTACTGAAGCACAATTTCTATTCTAACCCTTTAACCCAATTTTGCTACTCTGCTTGCGCTCGGATCATTTTAAGCCGCTAAACTCCGGGAAAGTTTTCAGTCCAATGATCCAGTAAGCGAATGCATTCAAACAATCCGTCCAAAACAGCGCTAATATAAAGGAAACCAGGCTGATTACATCAGAGATTGCAGAGAGAACAGAGACTCGTGTTGCGTTTTCAGTGAATTATTAATTCCAGTGTGTTTCGCTTTAAAACACGAGCTCTGTCATATTCTGTGATTGTCTCTGAAGAGCGCGAGCCCTCACGCGTCACACACGCTGTGTGAAGTACAGACTGAACGGATTGTCAACACATCCCACCGCTGTATGGCCAGATGAGCCGCAAGCTACGGTTTCTCGACTGGATAACCAGTCTCGCTAGTAAAGTTTTGATGGATGAAGACTGCAATCAAGGTAAAGACGATTGCTGTGGCGTACAGGAGTCGTTCAGTACAGTAAGAACGCGTGAGTCCGTTATAATAATGCGTGTATGAGTGCTCTTGACGCACTGATCGCACATTGTATTTATGCACAGGCACAGACATTTCCGTACATTCACGTTGTTTCCACACACATTCACGATAAAGTTTTGATTTGTCATGTTTATGTTGCTGTGCTTAGTTATACGGAATGGATCCGTGTACTGTAGTAGATATATACATGCAGTCAGCAGGCAGTTGGTTTAGGGTTTTTTTTGGCATCTCCATGTGGTCCTGTTCGGTATCGCAACTTGGCTTCTCTAAAATGTAAAAAAGCTCTCTGGTGTTACACTACACATACTATAAAATTCAGATTTTTTTTCTTTCATATGTGCTTATATGGGCTCCTTATATCATTTGGTTCTTTGGTGTCCTTTTGGAGTTTCTAAGTGTCCTTTTTTGGAAAGTCATCTAAATTTATCTTGAAAGAAGCTTGCAGAAAATATAGATTTTTGAGAATCACCCTTCAATCTTTTGGTTTAGTTTGCTGTACATAGCCAATGATGTCAAAATAAACATTTGAAACAAGATAAATGGTCTATGCTTAATTTCATGAAGTGTGCGATTAATCGCGATTAATCACAGAAAAAGGATGTGATTAATCAGATTAAAAAAAATTATCGATTGACAGCCCTAATTTTTGATATTTGTTTAATGGCATCTCTTTTTTATGACAGGTGAGTATCACTGATACCAACACTGATGTCTCTATGAAATTCTTTTTCCCCCTAATATTTAACCACTGACTTTATGTAATGTTGACTATATTAACGTCACAGTATAAATGAGAGCTATCACTTATTTAGACTTTATTTAAACATTTATTAGACTTTAAAAAATAACAACTTCTAACTTAAGTGAATTTAAAACAATCTTCAAATAAACCCATTATAATAAATGTCATATTTACCCTTCAGCAAGTATATACAGAAATTGAATAAAGTTGGTCAAACACTAAATTATAACTTAAATATAGATGAATCCTTAAAGCTTCAAAAGTTATTTATTTCTTCTTTTTTCTTTTGTTCTTCGATTAACAGACATCACAGCAGCTGGGATATTAGGTTATTTGGCTGCTATTACTTTAAGAGCTGCCACTGCTGAACATGACATGGATCTGACATGCATGCTTGTAGTTTAATTCGCGCTTTAATATGAAATGATACAGGCTACAGTACAGCGCGCACCGCCGCATTTGTGCGTGCAATTGAAGATTGCATCTGTACTGTTTTCCGCACTCGTTTGACTAGCACCTGCCGTTGAGGCGAAGTGGAGTGCGCGTCTGAAAAGTCTTCTGTTTGATGTAGTCGTAAAGACTTTCTGCCTCTAAATAAATGCAATTCTTGTCAAAAAAAGAGAGACAGAAGCAGCAGTTGTGAGTGGGGGAGGCCAACCCTATAGCTCTGCCCCTGCCTTAAAGATTTTTAATGCTGTTAAACTGGATATAAATAATTGAACAAACATATATATAAACATATTTTTTTTTAACAAATTGACCCATTCACTTCTATTTTAATTGCATCACTGTAACCCAAAGCTTTGCTTTTTCTGAATTATTTTTATTTTTAGTCAAAATTATTATTATTTTTTGTGGTAATCAATGTTATGCCACAAGTGCTGATGGTATTTGTATTAGCTGATGTATTTCTGCACACATTGATGCAGCTGTGTGTTCATGTAGGACGCTGTGAGCTGGAGCTATGCTGGGTGACTTTGTGTTGTCAGCCATGACAGAGCCTAACAACATCTCATTCCCAGGGAGTGGAGCCAGTATTTTCACCAAAGACCCCCAGTCCTGTCCCGGGTCGATGTTAAGGGACAGCGACAGCCTCTACAGAAGCGTGTGTAATTGGCATACAAATTGGAATGAGATGTACTGAGAGCATCTACTGAATCAACTCAAAGAGAAAATGCATATTCACATGCCCTGATGCACAAGAGCGTTTATTGGAGGGAAAGACATTGGTCTAAATTATTGTTATAACATGATCTGAGGGAATAATCCAGGTTTCCATTGCCCGACTGTGAATAATTAGTGTTTTCATAGTATACGCTAACACAACTGGACTCATGCAGGATATTATAAAATGGCAGCTGTGGGAAAGTGTAAAAATGCTTGACATGGAGCAGGATGCACTGAATGTTTGCAGTCAGGTGATTAAAGAACGATTTGACATTGAGAAACATGCATGCATAAAATATTTGATTAGAAGTATACCCGATGAAGCCACTGCTGAACGTGAAGCTGATCTGACACGCATGCTCGTAGTTTCATATGCGCTTTAATACAAAATAATACAGACTACAGCGTGCGTTGCCCTATTTGTGTGTGCAATTGAAGAGCATGCGCTATGTGCTACGAGCACAGTATAAGAGCTGACAGGACAGGAAAATTTATTTTTACTGACATGTAGCCTGACAACATTTTTAACGCCGTTAAACTGGAAAAAAGTAATAATTAATTTTAACAGCACTAGTTGTGAAAAAATACAAACAACCAATAAAGCGTCTTATTGTGCATTGCTTGTTGTGGACTATATTTAAATGAAAGAGATACAAGTGCAGAATGGATGAATGATGTGTTTGGTTTAGAGTGTTTGTGTAGGACATTCCTTACCTCTTTTCTCAGTGTGCGCTTTCACTGTGACATGTAAGTTCTTCTGCTGATCTGGGATCTGCCGGCTCTTCAAGTCACTCTGATCCGTGTCTGAAAGCTGATGTCACACCAAAAAACTCTTTCATAAAATGTTATTCATTCAACTATTCAACTTCACATGCATCTAAACATTCTTGTAGCTAGATTTGAACTCCAACACACTTGCCTGGAAGTTTCTAGTGTGTTTGAAGACCTTGATTAGCTGGTTCAGGTGTGTTTAATTAGGTTTGGAGCCAAACTCTGCAGGTTTGAAGACCTTGATTAGCTGGTTCAGGTGTGTTTAATTAGGTTTGGAGCTAAACTCTGCAGGACACTGGCCCTCCAGGAGCAGCTTTGGACACGATGCAGTAGAGCATTGTGTTACCAATGCCAAAGATATGGTTTTGATTACCAGGTAATTTATATACTAATAAACTGTATACTTTGAATGCAATCTAAGTCGCTTTGGATAAAAGCTTCTGCCAAATGCATAAATGTAAATGCAAAGTGGAACTCTAAACTTGCAAGGACATGAATAAGCCAATACATAATGTGAAGTTGGCATCTTACTGGTGAGAGTCCATTGGTAGTGGCTGTGCTGGGGTTGTGGGTTTTGCAGTCAGTGCAGGAACAATGGGATGGGATTCCAAACTTTTCTCTCATTGAGTGCACAGACCTCTGCATGTCCACCAATACTTAGGAAAAGATGGCATTGCACTACTTTTACTATCAGGTACACAGTCAAAGATGACACAAACCCGGATGTGATGTTTAGATACATATAAGTACACAAACCTTTACCTATGCTTACCTGTTTCAGGGACAATCTGAGTAGGCATTAAGTTCTTGAAGTCATGTGGCTGGTTCTTTACGCATCGGACCCAGGCATACAGTTCCTTATCTGAATGACAGAACATACAAATTGTCGGAAAGAGAAACAGACAAAAAAAAAAAAAAAACAGCTGAAAAAAACAGCATATGTTTCTTTTGGATGCTGGTGTCCCCATATGGCTTTTTAGCTTAACTAGCTTAACCATTAAAACTGAAAACAGGTCTCCCACGTCTTTTGATCAGTGAAGTTTTGACTTTTTCTTGAGTTTTCCACTATTCCACTATTTTAAAAACATTTTATATAGATTGCACTCACAAAGAGAAATTTGATGATATTTTAAAATAAAAATGTATTTTTTTTTAATTATAGTGACTATAGAAATTAGATTTGATCAATTTAGATTTAAATTTTATATTTTAATGTAAATTTATTTTTTTATAAAAACAATTTCCATCACCTTTCTAATCCTGAAAATCACAATTTGAAAATTTCTTGATTTTTCCATATTTTCCATGACCATGGGAATCCTGTTAGCAAGACCATGTTGGTCGACAAACAATAACCACTAATTTTTTAACATGCTAGACCAAAACAAACTAGTCTAAACCAACTTGGACCAGAATGGAAAGTCTAAGCTGGCTTTTTCCAGAGAAGTGAAAAGAAAAGGGCATCCAATAGGTAAATTAGTTTAAAATAAATAGGAAAATCCATGATGCATTTGCAACTGACCTTTGGCTTTCTTCTTCTCTCTGGCTTTATAGCAGTCCATGCAAACCACGAAGCCACATTTATGACAAGCCCAGTGCATGTTGAAAAGAGTGGCCTCACACGCGTCACACATCTCCCTAACACCTCTCACTGCTCGCTTCCACATGATCTGAGCTGGAGAAAGGGAAAGAGAAAGAAGACAGCAGGCCAAGGTGAAAAAGACAAAATGACAAGGAATAAGAGACTTTGTGCATCCGTCATTCCACACAAACATACTGTCTTTCTTGACCCAGGTGAAAGCAGTGTCCTCCGTCTTTATGAGCTGGCAGAACTTGTCTCCGATGAGTGCAAGGACGGATTTTGATGTCTCAAGGTCCATCTTTCTCATCTTCTTGCCCTCCTCGTCCTCTGAGCTTCCCGTCCACACCGTAACCGCCTCCTCATCTGTCTGCTCAGACACCGAAAACCCATTCACACGGATAACGCCATTCTTACTGTACGACAGACTGAAGAGAATGGGGAAAGAATTAGTGTATGTATAAATTGTGCTGACTGATGATGCGATTGGATTTTAAAAAGACAATAGTTCAGATGTTCTTACTTCCATTAAACATGTGCAAATCATGGATATGATTATCATGTTTTAAACAAACTTGAGTGCATATCATTAAAGTCGGACTCCGCAGTACTTCATGAGAATTAAGTAAATATTGCACCAATGATGACCCAAATAAACCCCAAATGAAGTGCATCACAGGGAGTTCACATATGTCCAAGAACAGTGCCAATAGTATTAAAGACCGACCGTCTGAAGTAGTAAAATCGGCAGAAGACGGGTGAGATGGCAGGCTCCTGAGATTTACGTGAGCGATCCAAGCGACACTCTCTGCACTTCTGCACGTTGGTCCCGATCTCTGCACACGAGACGTCTTGTAAGAACGCTTCTCCAGTTTGCTTAAGCTTCCTCACCTTCCTCCAGTCTTTCAGCACAGAGCGAGGGATGCCACCTGAGACAGAAATAACATAGCGTTAGTTTGAATATGCATGATTTGAATTGTCATGGCTTTCATTCTTTCATTCTGAATGCCATGGTGAACCTGATACTCAATTACATTTAGGCAGAAACACACAGTATGCATAATTATTCAGCCAGTCAATCTTGTTTAAACACAGCTGCTATCGGACAAAACACTGAATACTGCAAAGGTACATTATTTTCCTATTCATATTTCCTAGGCATTGGAGAATAATCTTCTATAAAGACCAATCAGGTTTGAGATGACTCGACACTAAAACATTTGATAGAAAAAAAGAAGCATTAAAAAATGGAAAAGAAGAAAGTGAAAAAGCCAGTATAAAACAATATAAACATACTGACTATATTTGACAAAATATAATTGACACTCATTCTCTGTGGAGTTTATCATCGTTAATACCAATGACAATGTTTTGATGTTCTAATTATTAACATTTTCTTTGGGTCTAAAACCACATCAGCATTTAAACAGGTGGAAAAACTCACTGCTGTTAGCGAGTCTCTGTTGAGGCTTATCCTTTGCACTTTGCAGAGTTCCATTGGGTTTGGCCTCTTCCTCTTCTTCCTCTTCCTCCTCCTCTACCTTCTTCTTCTGGTGGTCATTCTGTGTGATTTTAAAAGAGGACTTGGGCTGTCGTTTAAACCTCCTTCCTGATCCACCATTCTCACTTTCATTGCCGGAGTCTCCTCCACTCTCGCTGTCACCGCTGGACTCTAATGGCCGTTTCTCGCCTCGTTTCTCCCTCTCAGGCTTCATATGAACCGGGGTTGATCGTTTTTCAAAAGATTTCTTGTCCTCCACAAGGGGCTCCTTACCCTCCAGCTTGCCGTTTCTGTCCAAGACAGGTTTAACCTCTTCTAAGGAAGACTTCTTGCCCACTGTCACTGGTTTCTCATCGGCTATAACAGATTTTTTGTCCTCTGAATTGAAACTTAGAGCATTACTACCAGACTTCCTGTTCTCTTGAGTCTTCTTGTTCAATATTTTGGACTTTCTGCTGTCTAGGGAGGGATCTTTATCCTCCTGACTGAACCCATTATCCACCAGTCCGTTAACTTTCTGTTTGATTGGCACAGAGTTGCTTGTGCTGGTCAAAGTTACAGCTGTCTTAGTGCCATCTACTGATTGGGAGACTGTGCTGCCTCTGTCTTGCTCAGAATGGCGGGTCAGCCAGGCTTTTTTCAGTTTATGGTAGCTGTTCTGACCAGATCGAGATTGGTTGGTTACGGCTGAAGCAGGTGCCAACTCATTGGTTAGTAAACCTTGTTTGGTTGTCGGCACAGGGCTGGAAGTCCCTGATGGCAGTCGGAGACATTCAGAAGAACTAGTGTTGAATACAGGCTCTTTTTCTCTTCCTGAAGCATGTGCAGAACACACAGGTTGTGTAGTGAGCGTAGTGCAAGACCCACACCTGCTATTTGAGAGGTGAGAGGTATGTTTCATAGCGTTTGAAAGATGCGTAGTGTGTTGAGGCTGAATTGTACGTGTGTTATGTCTAGATTCAGCAATAGCTAGTCCAGCTCTGTGTTTCTTCAGATGAGGGAAGTCTCTAGAAGTGCAAAAAGAGGTGAGAGAGGACTCCATCTTTGGTTGAACAGCACCAATCTCTCTCCTCTTGCAGTGTTCTGCGATTAGGTCTATCCTAGAGCGTGCAACATTCATATTTGTTAAGGGTTGAGCTGTGTTAATAGGTTTAGTTGTCATGTTTATTGGTGCATTGAAATCTCCCTTTTGGGCTGTCAGGTTGATGGGGTGAACAGTATCCAGAGGGGTCCACAGGACACCTCTCTTTTGCTGAACACCGCTCTCTTTTGAGTGTGGGTTGGACCAAATTTCCAATGGTCTTATGTGGCCACACTGCATCTGGGAAACTGAGCTGTCAGACACTGTGTAACTTATTGTTGTATGTGTGTGGTTTGTTGGACGTACAATGACTGACGCAGTGGCTGACTGTGGTTTGACTACACCTCCATTTGTTGTGTGTCTACCGCCCAATTTCTCTCTGCCATACATGACTCCACCCCATTGGGTATCGTAGGCTTGTAATGGCATTGTTTCTTTCTCTGGCACAAGTCTTTTCCCATCTAAGGCGACATGTTTGAGTTCAGGCAACAAGGTGGGTGGCCTCTGTTGCTTCTGAGCTTTTCCGGGCAAGCTCATTGGCTGGATGGGTGTGAGAGTGGGCGGGGACAATCTGCCATGTCCAGAGTCTTTTGAAACCACTATGGTTGGTGCCGGAGGGTGAAAAATAGGCGCACGGTGGAGTAAAGGCACGTTGCGTGGAGAAGAGGAGACAGAGATGAGAGAAGAGCCTGGCCCCCTTCTCTCCACAGCCGCTACCTCTACTGCTTCCATGGAAGATGCTTTATGAGCCAGTTGCTCTGAGATCTTTCCCAGCAGACCTTCTTCTTTCTCATGGTGGTGTTTAACAAGAGGCGGAGGTCTGGCTCTCATTGAGACCTGCGAGCTGGAGGAAGTTAAGACGGGGGCAACTGTGTTGCTGGCACTGAGCCTCTCATAGAGTTCTTTGCTGGCTGGCACTCTGCGCTGTTGAGGCTTGTTCTCCACGCTGTTAGACAGAGAGGCATAGTAGCTGCTCGGAGTGAGGGTTGGGGTGGGATGGGCCGACTGCGGCCGGGGAGGTAGAATGTGTCTGAATGCATGCACATCTCTCTCTCTTTCTCCGTCTCGGTCTCTGTCCATCTCTCTCTCCCTCTCCTTGGCAGATGTGGGGTTTCTAGGGTATCGTGGTTCCCTATCTGAGCACAGTTTAGCAGTGAACGGTGCCACCTCACTGCTCTCCTGAAGAATGCGGCGGTTCTCTTCCTGGTAGCGGTTTGGTCTCTCTCCTGTGAGATCATAAACAAGTGGCTGTTTGGTTCGACTTGGGGACGACTCAAGGGCGACTGGGCAGTAAGTCTGCCCATTTTTGCCTGCTGCTGTGCGGAGACGCTCCTGTTCAGACTTGAGGTGAGTGTAGATGAGTGTGCTCTCAGTGACAGCTCTTCTATCCAGCTCTCTAGAAACAAAAACAGCAGGAATGAATGTGGAAGAGAGCTTGTCAGTATGTCTGATAAGTAAGATATAATTAACAGTGGACCATAGGAAATTAATTCAAAATTAATGCACACAGTTAATGCACACCCCAGGTTGGTAATGTGAGTTTTAATAATTTAATGGTCAGGTCTCGTTTTAGACTACCATTACTAGTTTGTAAAGAATATGGTGAAGTGATATGAAAGTGTAGTGTTGTCAATAAGCAGTTATAGAAAATAACACACAGCAACATCTGTCAGTCCTTTACAAAGCAACAATGTTGTGTTATTTAAGGCACAACAATTATATAAAGTGGCAAAATTGTGTAGGAGTTAGCTGAAAACTTACTCTGTGGTTTTGGAGGAGGGTGTGCAATGTTGAGTGTTTCTAGACACTCTCTGAGGGTCCGCACTGGAGGGTCGGATGGGTAGTGGGGGTTGCAACCCTTGACCGTCTGCATTAGTAACAGTGGTGGGCTGAGAAATCCAAGGGCTTGGGGTGTTCTGTTACCACACAGACAAACATACAGTGTTTCATACAAATTTATAGGACCTGTTTTGGTTTGATATAGAGATTGATCTCTATCTATCAAAGGACATCAAAGCTTAGAGAGATAATATGAAATAAAATCCGAAATAAAATTAAACAGTGTGCAAGGACATAAGTCAATCCCTTCCAATACAAGAGAATTCTTTGCGTGTACACTCTTTGTGTTGAGAAACACAATCTTGTTTAGGCCTATATCCATAGTACACATAAAGATGAATAGTGGTTTACAGACAACTCAAGGATGTTCTCATGATAGCATATGAATAAAATAAAGAGGGGGGGGGGGGGGGCCTATTCAGCCTGTCACAATTCAAACAACCCACTGCAATATACGTCCATAATACCATAACCTGCCTCTTGATGCTTTATCTCGGCTTAAAAACTAAACCAGACAATATTACACAATCGTCATTGACTTGCATGACATCCTTATAAAATCCAGAGGAGCCAGCATAAATCCCACTATAGCTCCAGCAGAATTAGCAGAAAGGGAGCTCTCTTCCAGTATGCACACCTCAGGGGATATGCTCTGCTTTGTCTAGACTTCTCCCTGACAATCTGAGGTTTAGCTATGATCTCATAAGTACCATAACAACTACACAAATATCATAATCTGTATACATAACAACGCCATGAATAACACAAAGCATGTGTCACCAATACAACCTGTTGGAGTGCTTACAACCTATTTTGACTTGAAAAGACTTGAAAGGACAGTTCACACAAAAATGAAAATTCTGTCATTAACTACTCACCCTCATATCGTCCCAAACCTGTAAGACCTTTGTTCATCTTCGGAACACAAATTAAGATGACTTTTTGATGAAACCCGAGAGCTTTCTGACCCTGCATAGACAGCAACGCAACTGCCACATTCAAGGCCCAGAAAGATAGTAAGGACATCGTTAAATGATGTTGCTAAAAAGAACATTATTTTGTGTATTTTGTATGTGTTTATGCTGTTTAAGGTTCAAAAACACATTATTTTCCACATAATGTACATTATTGTTTGTCCTCTATGCCCACCTTTCTGAAACGCGTCGATTTTTACAAAGCTCATCGGTCTGAAAAGCGAGGTGTGCTCTGATGCAACAATACTACAGCGAGAATAAAAGTTATGCCTTCTTTCTTTGCGTGAACATTTGGGCGGTGTTATGCAAATCTTCCCACACAGTGACGTAGACATGTGGGGGCGTGTTTAAATGAGGCGTTTTAGGAGGGCGTGGACAAGTCTTAACTTTTATAAAAGAATATCTCTTTGGATTTGAGACTTTAGTCTTTGCAACTTTACAGATCTTCTTTATGCACCAAGAGCTTGTAACACTCCAAAGAGAAAGGAAAAATTGAAATCGCATCATATGACCCCTTTAAAATAATCCATGTGACATCAGTGGTTCAACCGTAATTTTATGAAGCTACGAGAATACTTTTTGTGTGCAAAGAAAAAAAGAAAAACTTTATTCAACAATTTTTCTTTTCCGCATCAGTGTCCACCGCCATTCACGACAGTACCACGACGCATGCGTGTGCATTCCTCTGCTTGAAAACAAGCCACAGCGCATATGTATTCTACGTCAGAATGCCGGCTCCTCCGTCAGCAGCACCACAAGCATGCATCGTGTTACTGTTGCGGAAGAGTAGAAGTGTTGAATAAAATTGTTATTTCTGTTTCCTTTGCGCACAAAAAGTATTCTTGTAGCTTTATAAAATTACAGTTGAACAACTAATGTCACATTAAATATTTTAATGATGTCCTTTCTACCTTTCTTGGCCTTGAATGTGTCAGTTGCGTTGCTGTCTATGCAGGGTCAGAAAGCTCTCGGATTTAATCAAAAATATCTTAATTTGTTTCCCGAAGATAAACAAAGGTCTTACGGGTTTGGAACGACATGTGGGTAATTAATGACAGAATTTTCATTTTTGGGTGAACATTCCTTTTAAAAATCCACTATAGTGTTACATTTTTTTTAATTGCTATGACTGTCTATGATCCGCCTATTCCTCAAAGCCTAAATCCATGTAGGGTTGCTGGGATGCCAATGAAAGAAACACCCAGGATTGATGGGCAGACCATCACAGGGCAAACACACAGAGACATCCAACTCACATCTACAGATAATTCAGTGTCCAATTCACCTATCCTTCATGTCTTTGGATTGTGGGGGGAACTGAAGCACTCTGAGAAAACATGCAAACACCACACCGAAAGGCCTTCTGGCTACCTACTGAGCCACCGTGTCACCCACAGGAGTCATAGGAGCCCTCAAACCCAGTTCCTCACAAGCTCTTTATATGTCAGAGCAACAAACTGCCACAGCTCTTAATGGGCTTAATATCTTAACTGACTCCAGAATCTGGGATGTGCATGCTAGAATTGTGTGAGGACACTTACACTCCTCACGCTGCTGTCAGAGATGCCAGCACCATCTGGGTGTGTCCATTTGGATGCTTGCAGGCCCAATCCAGGGTAGCTATGGGCTCCGTTGGGGAAAGGAGGCCACAGGAGGGGATAGAGACCAAGAGGTGCCAGAGGAGCTGCACCAGAGGTCTGGCCCAGGAGAGACAGGTTACCTGGAAGGGCCAAAGGATGATGGGGAAGTCCCAGGGCTCCGATACGAGGATGTCCAGACAAGAGTGCAGGAGGCAAGAGGGACGGGAGGAGGTGCGGATGAGGGATGGTTGAGTGGGGTGTGCTCAGGGAGCAGAGGGGAGGCTGGGAGTGGAGGGGAATGGGTGAGAGGTGTGCAGGGTGAGGGGAGGGACTCAGTAGCTTGCTATGGGAGGAAGCTGGGGTAAGGCTGGGAGAGCTGGAGGAGGGAGAAGGTGTCTTCAGGTGGTGTTTGGGGTTTGGGGGCATGTGAGGGGGCTGAATGTAGGTGGGGTGGGCCTCAAGCTCCGTCCTGATTAGTGCAGGGTCTCTGTAGATAGTGAAGGGCTCCTTCCTGCCCACAATGAGGGGACTTTTGTTGGACTTGTCAGGAGTGGGAGTGCGATTAAGCGTACGGGAAGGAGAATGTGTTGGGGTTCTGGATCGGTTTGGGGTTGGAGAAGGGGTCTGAATCAGGACTGGAGTTGTGGAGCAGGTCACTTTGGGATTGGGTGCCATTTTAAGGCCGCTAAGAGTTCTGTCCATAGATTTAGCCAAAGGAGCAGCATCCTTCAACAGGCCAATCTCTAGAGATGCACTCTGCTTCTGCCTGGATGTCTCCCGTACAGTCTGAGGCTTAAATATGATCTCAGGAGAGGAGCAAGGACTGGTGGGCACACTAGGCTTGTGGGTAGCTTCCAAGGAAGTTACAGGTCCATATTCTGCATTCACAGTTGCTGGAGAACAACTCGGTTTAGAATCCACATCCTCCTCTTTGTTGCAAGGTATGACTGGAGAACAAGGCGGTGGACCTCTAGGCTCCTCTTTTACTGGCACTGCATTGTCACTGCTGGCTTCAGAATGGGGAAATTCTGACCTCCTGACCTCTGATTGGTTTAACTCTGACCCCCTAGGCTCTGCGTGGGTGAACTCTGACCCTTTGACCTCTGAATCATTCGTCGACATCTCGTGCTCAGCCTCTGCTCCTTCACACTCCAGAGGTGATGCGTGTAGCAGCACACATGTGGCTTCCATGGAGACCAGCTGCTCACTCTCTTGGGACGCCAAAAGTGCAGACACGGCCTCCGAGTCCTCTCGAGATGCCCCCTCGCTCCTGTCCTCTATTTCTGTCATCCCTCCATCGCCTTTCTCTTCTGATTTCCCACCAGTAACAAGAGCACCAGACTCCAGTGCATCTGTGTTCCTGAATGCGCCGTTGAAGGATGCACTAGGGGAAACAGATGGAGAAGTTTTTCCTGTTTTCTGAGTCTTGCTCTCTCCTAATTGGTTAGGCGAAGGTTCCCCGCCTCTATGGGAGGGGTGAACCTCACAGTCCAATGGCCTCTTTGAAGAAGTGTAACGCTGTTTCAGCTGTCTCTTTGATCCTGAATCCGAGGATGAATCCTGCACTCTGCAGCTGGAATTTTCGGAATCGCTGTTCTCTGACAGGTCGGACACACTGCCTGCTTTCAACCTCTTTAACCCACATCTATTTCTCTGCTTGTCATCTTGTTCCTCATCTTCTTTCCTCCTTTTTCTCTCAACATTGCTGTTTTTAGATTTGGAAGAATCTAAAAAATAACAGATAAAAATCAGCACTCTGTATCAAGCTAATGCCATAAATCTGAATCCAGCTAAATGTAATTTAACACAGATAGAGCTCCTAATATCATTATAATCATTATCCATGGCTACAGCTCACCTCTTGCCTCATCACTCCTCTTTTCAACTCGCATGCCTTCTTTTTCATCCTCTTCCATGCTGCAGTTCTGTGTGCTCATCTCAGACTGCTGCTGCACTGGCCTGGAGCTGCACACCTTCAGCAAAGAGACAGAGTGTGTTTTTTAACTAGAGGATGTAAAAGTATACTGCTGTGATGCATTTGGAAGTGTTTTAAAGTCTCTACCTGGTCATTTGTTGTGTTGTTTGATATGCTTCCTGTGCCCTGGAAGCAGATTTAAAAGAGGTAATGAAGACACAAACACAAACATTTACTTGACATCTAAATGAAGACATACCATAGACTTCTACTGCTATATAATTTGTCATATTTACCATATTTTTGAGGACAATTTTGTCCTGCATTTAGTATGTGCACACATATACAAAAATGAATGTCTTCACTCACAAGAAAAATCCTATTGATCTTGGTGATATGTGCTTTGCGTTTTGAGTTGTCTCCCATCAGCGAGGAGTGGGTGATATCGTCTAGCACCATCATCTGAACCAGTGACGTATCTACATTCATCTCCCGAACCTTTTGAAGAGGAAAAAATAACCTTCATATAAAACAAATTTTTTACATAATCTTACTACGCACAGCCTGATATATGTGTGTGTTTATGTAATCTCACCTGGTCAGTCATGACAGCTACAGTTCTGTTGTTCTGGCCGTGATGTGTGATGACTCCAGACAGCCACTGGGCTTTGGACTCCAGTCTGAACACTTTCACTCTCAGGCCCTTTAAAGAACAAGCACCTGTCGCACAAAAGCAAATTTCACACACATCAAAGAACTACCACTCACAACACTGATCTAACAAAACAATCGCACTCTAATCCTCAAATCACAATTGAAATCAAATTATAAACACACTCATGACACGTTAGTTCTTAAATTAATCAAATCCTTATTTGAGCCAAGTTTGACCCATAAAATGAACAATATATAGTATGATGTGGCAGCATTCATATTAATGCACCAGTGCTTCACATTATTGCACCATTAAGGTAAACAAATTATGTAACTTGGCAGAAGAATTAGTTCCAATTATTATCAATAAAATGAATTATTAATCAAACTTGGTTGTCTTTTTTCACATTTCTGTTGTGACTTGCTAACTATTTGCATTGTTTTCATCCTACAAATTCATCCTCAGAATTGGAAATAACCCTGTAATGCATGGCATCTTGTGGCTATTTGCCATCTTCTAAAAATGCTTTAAATGTAAACTTTAATTGAATAAGCCACAATTAAAAATGTGATGAACGTGATTTTGATTCTATATGAATGTCAACTTAACCGTGAACAGCCACATTCTATTTGCAACTATTTGCATCACATTCACATTGCATCTAAACCTGACACGATGCAGTATGATTCTAGTGACAAGAAATTTGCCTATAAATACCAGACATAACAAGCCATTACAAAATCAATCATAAATCTTCCAGCCAATAAGCAAGCGCTGTCTTGCACTCACCACAAAATGAGTATATACTTTAATAAAACCTAAACCATTTCATATTCATTGGCTATGTATTTAAATACAACTTTTATCATGGAACGCACTTTTTTGTTCACAGTGTTGGGGAATAACTAGTTACATGTAATGGTGCTACGTAATTTAATTAAAAAATAAATATAACTGTAATCCGTTACAGTAATCCGTCCCAAATTGCATTGACTGCTCTAAAATATGAGACACCAATGTTTCAGGAGTTTAGGACAGAATAGGACACATGCTTATTTGATCACTGTTTTATTTCCTATTTGGGTTTATGTATAGTAGGGCTGCACGATATTGGAAAAAACTCACATTGTGATATTTAGTTTTTTCTGCAATATATTGCGATACGAAAAAAAAAAATCACCAGATGACTTGAATAGCTCTATTTGGAAAAAAAAAAATAAATGATTGGGGTGATTTTGTAGGTGAGTAAATCAGCATAGAAAATAAACAAATTACAAGCATAGATAAATATAACAGAACAAAGATACAAATGAAATGAACAGTGCTTTACATTTTTCAGGTAAGTCTAACAGTATTCAGGTACAGAAATGGAATAATCAGATGTAAAATAACACTGCAAAGTCTTCACTGTATAAATTAAATCTAATAAATATGTGTTAAAGCTACAAAATTTTCTCACACATCCATTTTCTTTCTCAATTGTTTACCTTCACCTAAGCCATCAGCAACTGTGTGTACAAGGATACTTGCAGAGACATGCATTCTGACAATTTCGCGCATATGTGTCATTTATAGACGCGGAAGTGAACGGAATTCAGAGTTCACATGCATTTGCGTGGCTCTACACTGGATGCAAGCGGCGCGGTGCGACAAATCCCCGACAGTAAACTGATGGCGTGTTCTATTTATGACGTACTGACACACAGTTCAAATGATGGTCGCTTTGTCGCATCCTAGACAGACTTTATTGCGGCGCGGGGCGGTGCGACATGATAGATTTCGTGTCCAGTGACATGGTGTCTGTGTGTGAGCAAAGAAAACGATCAGTATAAATATAACGGTCAGTATACTAAACATCGCACATCCTGCGATGTGACTATCGCGGATGCACACATCGCGATATCTCGATGCTGAAACGATATATCGTGCAGCCCTAATGTATAGGCTTTATTTATTTTAAGATTAACTGTTTTTTACAATGCATTGATAGATGCCAGTGTTTCCTCTCATAGCTATGCAAAGATTTGATTTTAAAAACAGTGTCATAGCTATTAAACTACTTCTTATGACTTTAAATCTGTATTTAACCTCAGAAATGTCTCAAAGTAAAAAGAGGTGCTAATGTCTGATTTGGTGCCATCTGTGCTTTAAAATTACTAGGGATGCGCCGATACGATATTCATATCGGGTATCGGCTCAGATAGTGCCATTTTTCTCAGATCGGGTATCGGTCAGAGAGGGCCGATCCAAATCTGAGATTTTTTTTTTTTTTTTTTCGATTGTGCGAATTATTCTGTGTTACTTCTGAAGCCATACGATAGCTTAATGTGAGCTACATACTTTTGGAAGACCAAACAAAGTAGTTTCGCTTTCACAACGAAAAACACAGCGGCCTAGCGTGAGGGGGAGCCCCGGCTTAGCGTGCGCTGAGGCCGGGCTAGAGTGAACTTAGCCCGGGCTGGACTCCGCTTCGTCCACGCCACGGTGAAAGTTGATGTATTCCCTCAGCGACCAGCACAGATCAGCTCTAGGCATGACGAAGCGGATATCGTCCTC